AAGGCCCAGGAACACAAGGGATTGGTCGCTCTAGATAGCTGAAAGGGTGGTCCAAGGCTCAGGAACACAAGGAGATTGAGGGGAAACAGAGAAACAATGAAGAAGAAACATCTCTGTCCAAAGGGCTCTAGACACAGGCTGTGAGGAAAAAAAATCTTTCCCAAAGAGAAAAACAAAACAAAATTCTTATTCTCTCAAGCAGTATAGCAGAAGAATGCAGTCTAAACTTTTCCTGAGAGATTAATCCCTGAAACTGTTTTTACTAAATTCATTTAAAAAAAAAATTAACTTACCCAGGTAAGTGATGTTTTCAGCCAATTCACAGCCATCAGCATCCTGGAAATAGTTTACTGTTTCCTGGTTATTGGCACCAAGCACATATGTCTGAATAGGAGCTAATGGGGAAACAGACATGCCACCACATGGTTACTGGATCTGCTCTGAAAATTGAGAAATGTTTCCCCATGGGAAAAATGGTCACGGCAAAAGTAAAGAGCCTGTGCATTCCTTCCACAGCCAGTCTAAACGAGGGACACGCTCATCACTAAGGATTCCTAATCCAACCCCATGGCTTGACTACTAAGTGATGTCACCGTACCAAAAAATTGCCATCTTAAATGGTCAATGTATATATAATGAAAAAAATAGCCTAAAATAAAAGCACTTGACAAAAAAAAAAAATTAAACTGAAAAAAAAGAGAAAAAGAAAAAAAGAAAGGACATGCTTGCTGTCCTTATTGAGTTCCTGGAACTCTAAATGAGCATCCTTTCAAAATGTCAAAATCATTCATTCATATATATGTATATCTGTGTGTGTGTGTGTGTGTGTGTATATATATATATATATGCATTCTTTTCAGTATATATATATTCTATTCAGTATATACCTATATACCTATATACCTATATACCTATATACCTATATACCTATATACATATACATATACATATACATATACATATATATATATGCATTCTTTTCAGCTCAGTGCAGAGTTTAGGAGAGACATAACATTCTTCATCATTTTATTTTAGACAGTCTAACCATGTAGCCCAGACTGGCTGGTCATGGATTTATGATACTCCTTCCTACCTTAGCCTTTCAAGTATTAGCATTGTGGGCATGTGCTACCAAGACTGAGGCAGAAACTCCCCAGAAGCAGCTATGCTCACCAATGTATGAGAGAAATCTTCAGCAACTAATATGTGAAAAGTGACACAACAATAACTACAGCCCCTGAGATTCTGTTAGGAAACATATATTAAGTAACAGGAATTTCTGTACCTTTCTTGTTGCCAGTCTTATACTCTTCCCACTCAGCGTCTTGGGTAGAGCCAAAAAAATTTCCTACACACAACAGCAGCTAAAATGAGTTTTTTAAAGATATATGAGATTAAAACAACAACAACAACAAAAAATAGACATTACATTATTGACTGTAATATTCAGCTAACTCCTCTATTTAATAGTCTCAAACCAAGTATTTATTCATCAATTTAATTAACTGATAATTCTATGAATTATTAAACTCTGATGTACTCCAAGTGAGGGTGGGAGAGGGTGAAGGAAACGAGCTTTCAAAAGGCAGAATTTATGTGCTTTCCAAAGGTTCCCAGGGCCTCTCTATCCTCCTTCCTTGGAATACACAGCAGTGTCGAAACAGACACATAAGGAACCTGTCCGTGAAATACAAAACTTCAGTGTTAGACTTCAGAAATACTGGGCGTAAGAACACCACATTCAATGATCTTTTAACTTATCCCTTAAGCCAACAAACAAATTCTCCCTATACCTACAATACTCTCCTGTGTCCTAGGAACTCATAATCTTCATGGCAAGCGCACACAACGTTCATTCCGTTCTTTCTTTGGTAAAGCATTTGCATACCTGCTATCTGATCTGATCCATAGCGTACACTCATGAAGCAGATCTGGGTTTATGAAACCCAGGTGTCAGAACTGGCTAGCTTTGTTCAGTTTGTTTGTTTTTGGTTCAGTAAGAAACTAACAAGATTTCAATTCCAACAGTGAATAGTAAACAGACCTCCTCCCTCCTCCCATCACTCCACAGCTTAGTGTACATATTAAGGACAAAAAAAAAAAAAAAAACCCAACCTAACAAAAAAATGGGGAAGTCAGTCATAAAATTAACAAAGAATCAGTATTTTAATGTTTGACTACAGTAGTAAAATTTCAGTAAAAATGATCATCTTACATCAAAGTTCCCACTTTTCTTCTGAATTGTCCGGACTCTATTGAATAAAACATCAAACTTTCCTTCAACATCTCCACAAGCCAAGCTGCAAACAAGAGATAAACATAGCGATTCAGGAAACACAAACGCATCTGCGAGGTAGGCTTGGTATGTATGTACTTCTCTTTTGGATTAGAAATATGATTCAGTTATCAACTACCAAGCAATATCTGCCTGCTACCAATATCTGCCACCAGGCACTTTTCTGAATATCTCACCAGTACTTCCAACTCACCAAACCTAAAATCTAGTTCTTTGTGTCTTCAAAAGTGAGTCAACTCCTTCTGATTCCTACATATTGCGGGTGGGTTTATCACCAACTTGGTCACTAAGAGTCAGCTAATCCCTTATTTAATCTAAGTCCAAGTGAGTCTCTAACCATGCTTCATACCTATTCTATTTTCCTCAGTTCCATGGCCTAGGCCTCACTTCACGGCTTCAGTCATCATTCAGCAAACACCAACTGGACAACTACACTAAGCAAAGCTCAACGTGCCAAATACTACCCAAGAACATGTTAGAATCATAGAAGCATTTAGATGCATGTAAAGCCTCAGAGTTGACAATAAGGGAAGGGAGGCTCAATCCTAAATTTATATGGAAAAGGCTATGATTAGAGACAAGTATAACGTGTTATAGAGCAGGAAGGAGAAAATGACAAGAGCGGAGGTTGATAAGGTGGTGTATCCCAAGCTGTGAAGTGACTTGTTCTAGCACCTAAGTTCTGACTTTTAAAATTCTGATTTACATCGTTTCTGTTTGTTTTTACTTTAGGGGAGGTATTGTATTTGGGAGGGTATACATGTGCCACAGTGCTCATGTGAAGGTCAGAGAACCACCAAAGAGAGTTCTCACTCTCCACCATGTGTATCATCAGGGACTGTACTCAGGTCACCAGGCATGGCAGGAAGTGCCTCTACCCACTGAGCCATTTCACCAGCCCTTACTTATTTTCGTAACTTCTTTTAACTCAAAATACTATAGTTTCTATTGTTTCGTCCATATGTCTCTCTGGTGTTCTTTTATTGTTCCTGTCATTGAACAGCTTCAAGCAGCATCATGATATGATCGTACATGTTTCATCAATACTTCTAATAACAGAAAATGACAGACTGGAGGAATAGTCAAACTACAATCGAAGTGTAAACAGAGGAAATGACCAATGGAAACAGGGACGAGAAAAGCAGATGAGAAACTTAAAGTCTGAAGACAAGCTAAGGAGAGAAGCAGGATGGGAAATGAGAGGCAGGAATGGAGGGAAACAAGTCTGAACAACTCAAGAGGGGATAGCAGAGGCGGAGAAACCTACTTTCTCTTGTTTGGGAGGTAAGGTAGACTTTACGGATCCCTTAGTGTTTTGTTTAATGTTTAATGTTCCTTCCTAAAAACATTACAAAGTGCCTTGTTTCCTGTAGAGACAGTTTTCCTCCAGTCCTGGCCTGTCTTTCCAGTACTTTCTCTAAGTCTTCCTAACTGAACTCTCTCAAACTGCAGACTGATCACTCTCTGTCTCTGCTAGGCTCTAGGAAGGTTCTCTTTCCTAACACCCCCATTGTGATCAACCTCAAAGCTTTCTCATTCATCAAGGCCTAATAAATCTCTGTAGCTTTCCTGGTGGCCTGAGAAAGCCACTTTCTCAAAATCTCAGAAACCCATATACCATTTCTGAAAAAACTCAGTCGTAGCTATCATGCAGTCGAATTTATTCTCTGAGAGCCTCTAATATCTTTTCGGTCCCTGTTAATTATCAATTCCTGAGAGGCACAGTCAATATTCACTATCTGATCAATATTCACTATCTGATCTAGGCCCCTTTTCAGCATTTTCTGATCCCAATGACTGAAGACGGAAATCTATGATCTTACAGTGGAAGTTTCTCACAATCAAAACATCACCAAGCCCTACGAGTACACCCGCTTAAAAAAAACATCAATTCCTGAACTTTCTCTCTGCCGTTACTTTACCTAATCCTTATTGCCTTCTACTTTGGCTCTAATTTGTTCCTTTCAAAGCAGGATCGCTTTCCATAACGAAAATTGGATCACACTAAGGAGCTTCTAAACGTTTCAATGACTTCTCTGGGTTAAATTTCCCCATTCGTCAACACTTGTTCCTCTAGTCCAGACTATCAGCTATCAAAGCAGGAACTCATTTGTGCAACGCATGCAGGACACACTGCCGCTGCTCAATACAATAGTCTTTCTGAATGAAGTCTTGTCTTCGCTAACTGACCGAGCAACAAAAGTACGCCAGGGCAGGGCAATGCTTATCTTGTCTGCCAAAACCCAACAATGCACCCGGTGTCTGCAAGTTATTTGGCTAATCCATACATGCCACGACTGGAGAAATGAAAGGGAGATGGTGTGTCGCAGGCAGAATAGGCCTAAGAAAAAGGAAGTCCGGCTCAGCAAGTTTTTAGCTCTCACGGAGAGACTCTGAAGACACCAGAGCAAAACTGAACTGGGACAGGAGAGCAGGAAGCCTCCACTCGTGTTACCAGCAGCCCCACGACCTCCCCTCCGTCTTCCCCTTCCGGTCTGGAGAAAGAGCCCCCACCCCCCACCCCTCCGCCCGCCTCTCTCCCTTTCTCCTATGTGACTGAGTCTACCGATGCAAGGTCACTCACAGACGCAGCGGCTTCTGAGCCATCGGTAATGACAATCTGTGCTGGGACGGCCACCAAAAGCAAGAAACACGAATGCGCGCCCAAGGTTGGAACTCCGGAGCGCAGAAATATGACGTCACAGAACTCAGCCAATAGAAATTACCGACCTACGGGGAGTGTAGAAGGATAAAAATCTATCCGCGGGTTTGTTTGTTTGTTTGTTTGTTTGTTTTGTTTTGTTTTGTTTTGTTTTGTTTTGTTTTGTTAAGCAAAGGTAACTCTGGAAAGAGTGAAAAGGATAGAGGAATTAAAAAGGAGAAACGTGTCTTATTTTGTTTGTTTTAGAAACATTTGGAGTTACTGAACTGTACACGTGCGTGTTTGTATTCGTGTGTGTGTGTGCGTGTGCGTGTGCGCGCGCGCTCATGTGAATCAGAAGAGGATGCTGATCCTTTGGAGCTGGAGTTACAGGAGTTTGTAAGGCCACTGACACGGATTCTGGGATCCAAACAATGAGTCCCATAACAGCAAGCGCTCTTAAGAGCTGAGTCATCTTTCCAACCCTGGCTGAGATTTTTGTTTGTTTTTGTTGTTTTAGTGTGTGTGTGTGTTTACAGGTGTGGGCACACGCTTGTCTGCATGCAGATTCCTGTGGAGGTCAGAGATTGACATCAGGAGTCTTCCTCCATTGTTCCCAACCTTATTTAGTGAGATAGGGTATCATTTGAACTCAGAGCTCATTGGATTAGATTAGTCTAGAAAGCCATATTGTCCGAAAGATCCCCCAATTCTGCTTTCTGAACACTGGGATACAGGCGGGCCCTGAAATTTATCTGTCCAGATTTATATGGGTACTGAGAATCCAAACTCTAGTCTTTATGTTTTGTGATAAGGGTGACTGAGACATCTCCTTAGCCGCTAAACTTTTTTTAAACACATGTAAAGAATAACAATCAGCTTTGATTCAGAGTGTCAGCATGTTGCCAAATTTGCTGTCTTGCTCACTTCATGTACCCAAGCCCTTTGATTCTCACTGAGTTATTCGAAAGTGAAGTGTAGACTTCAGCGTTCACCTCATAAATAAGTAAAAATAGTCTCCCTTAAGTGACCTTAGTATTAGCACACTGGAAAAGACTTAATGCAGTAACAAGACCCAGATTTATGTACACAGATGTTAGTTCTCTATAATTGATTGTATACATGGGAACTATTTTCATTCAGGAATTACACAAATTTCACATTTTCATCTGCTATCTCTAGTCTCCTTTTTGCTTTCCTTTCAGTACACTAATTTTTCTGAAGGGACCAGGCCAATTAGCAACAGGGTGACAAGGACCTGGAACCAATCATCTTGACAAAGGAAAGGCACCCAAGTTATCAGAAATCAAATATGTTAAGAATCACAAATCTCTGATTTTCTCACAATTACTGCAATGCTTTTGAGAGGGATATTAAATCATATGCTAATACCCCTGCTTTGTTGGTAATGCAAATCTTTTTCTTACTTTTTGGATAATACAGCACTCATTACTTGAGTGGCTTTCAAGACTGAATCTTGAAGAAAAATTTGCCAATATGAACAGCTAATGATTTCAGAGATGATAAAACAACAGCAAAATACGAAAATTTGTCTGTGAAATTGTATATTATTGTTGCAACTTTCCTGTAGGTTCAAATCAATTCTAAAAATGAAAATTTATCCATAAGAATGGAAAGTAGCTGAAGATGGCTTAATACACTGTAAGT